GAATAGAATAGAATAGAATAGAATAGAATAGAATAGAATAGAATAGAATAGAATAGAATAGAATAGGAATAACAGAGTTGGAAAGGACCTTGGAGGTCTTCTAGTCCAACCCCTGCTTAGGCAGGAAACCTTATACCATTTCAGACAAATGGTTTTCCAATCTCTTCTTAAAAACGTCCAGTCTTGGAGAATTCACAACTTCTGGAGCCAAGTTATTCCACTGATTCTTTGTTCTAACTGTCAGGAAATTTCTCCTTAATTCCAGGTTGCTTCTTTCCTTGATTAGTTTCCATCCATTGCTTCTTGTTCTGCCTTCAGGTGCTTTGGAGAATTAAGGATTCCCAACCATCTACTACAGGGTAGAGAGGACTCACCTTTGTGGTAATGTATGGACGAGTAAATCTGTGATCCTCCAGACATGGGCCTACAACTCCTAGAGTTCCCCTCTCTTAGCGATGTATATGGAGCTAGTGAGAACCAAAACCAAACCTCACTTGGGAAAAATCACAGATTTATCACCATTTCTTCCAAGTTTATTTCTTCATTTCTTTCAAAAACAAACTTACATGTTGAGATTAGTGAAGACCCACTTCCTAATCTACTCTAGTCATGTACTAGAGCGGGGATGTCCAACCTTGGCAAATTGAAGATCTGTGGACCTCCAATTCCCAGAATTCCCCAGCCAGCCATTATTGACTGGGGAATTCTGGGAGTTGAAGTCCACAAGTCCTCAAGTTGGACACCCTCGTTTTAGAGTCCTTTTTTAGACTTACAGGGTCCAAGGGAGACCATAGTTCTGAAACTCGGGAAGTTTTTCAAGAGATAAATGCTTCCTAATTTTACTTGCTTCCATAATTTAAGACAAGACTTTGGGAGATCTGTCTTCCAATCTAGCAGCTTGTGTGGAGTTCTGATCACTCTTGCCTGGTTATCAGCCCACTGAAGAAGATACTTGGTTAAAATGATTTTACCTCTAAGGGAGAATTCCCTAAAATGAGGCATAGAGACTGTAGAAAGAGACAATGGTAAAACAATAAAATAATAAGAGCATCAATAATAATAATTAAAAAAAAACAATGACACTTACTGTCTTCTGTTCATTATATTTTATTCATACTTTTATTCCATTTCTTTTTCTAGCTACTTTACATTAAGATTTTGGCTTTGTAGCCTGTATAACTCCTAGCTTCTATCAACTCAAGCTTGTGGTGGTTGATGATTTCCTGTTTCTGTTTTTTCAATTTTTATTTTTGTAATCAACTTATATTAGACCTTGCGCACAGCGCAAAGTTTAGTATAGATACAGATTCGCACAGACAGATCCTATGCACACGCACACTTGCGCACACAACCTCACACACGCGTACACACAATCGGGGTTGGGGGGTGGGGTGGGGGAAGAGATCTTTAGCATGTGGCCTGGCTCCAGGATTATGCTGTTAATCGTCCCAGGTCCTTCTACCTGTAATGAATGCAGGGAAGGTGGGAAAGGAAATATTACTTGGCCTTCTGTCCGGTCCCTTTATAGTTCCCCTTTTTGGAAAACCTCCCTCTCTTTAGGGAGTCAAAAAGTACCTGGAGAATAGCAGCAGCTTAAGAAGATGAGTTGTGGGGACCAAAATGTCATGCTTCAGAGGTGAGGAAAAAAGGGGGAAGAACGGATGGATGCACGCCATCCTTATCATGCAGGGAACCATTGGGAAATGGCTACTTGTTCCTGTTTTGGATCTGAGTTATTGGAAATTGAGTAGCTCCTCCAACTCTGCCCCAGAGACCTCAGAATCAATAGGAGAATTTGACCCATGGAGAAATATCTCCAGAGCTTCCCATGGTCTCCCAAATGGAAATATGAGGTTGGGAAGCCTGTCCTTCAAATCTTACCACACCTCGACTGACCAAAGTAAAATGAGGTAATGTAAAAACATGGCGAATCATGCTTGTCACCATCACCACCGTCATCTTCTCACAGCAGCCATGGTCAAAAAAGAGCAGAAGATTGAGGGTGATACAGAAGGGAGGACTTGCCTTCCCTGTGACCACTTCAGAACGCACTGTTGGCCAGAAGATTAGCAGTAAGTCAAGCCACCGAAGAGGGCGAAAATCCCAAGGAAGCCAACGTCCCTATGTTGCTGTTTTCAAGGAAGGGGGTAAAAGGAGAACGTGTTCTCAACAAGCAGGGTGTGTGGCTGCAGCTGGGACAGTTAACCCACCCGTTTGGCTGATTGACACATCTAGGGACGAATGGCACAAGAAGAAGAGTCATCTGTGCTTCCACCAGCGTGAGCCAGACAGCCGAGCATGAAGAACACCCTAAGGAGGAAGTATGGACATGAGGAGACAAAGAATTGCAGCAGAACATTGACCATTAGGGAATATGAAGGTATCTCCAAGACCTTCTGAAGTCTGGAGGTCCCAATCTACCAGTTCTCTCAGCAGAAGAAGTCCCTCTGGTCACTCTCGTGCGCCCTGCTATGAAATTGAGATGCCAACAGTGGGTTTTATGGGTTTGACTGTAGCAGGAGCCAAAGGGAAGGGTCAGCTATATTAAAATAAAAAACCCCAGGACTTCAACAACCTACAAATCAAAAATGGAAGCAGAGGAAGAAGACTGAAGAAGCTATTTCTAGATACCAAGTGTCCCTCGGCAAAGCCTTTCCATGAACGGACAAACTTACCAGTGTGGAAGGCATCGTCAAAACAAAATGAAACAATGGGCTCCGTTTGCTGATCACAACTCTCACCAACCACAAGAAAGGTGGAATGACGCGCAATAAGAGTAGAGAGAAGTCAAGACAAATTGAGAGGAAGGCCAGATCCTTTTCCCACACGTATATGTGCCTCTCCTGGATAACAAAACTCCATTTGAACCCTGCATATAAATTAAGCAAAATCCGCCCTCTGGCAGGCGTATTTAACACCGTGAACATCTCCTATCCCAGTGATGGCGAACCTTTTCAGCACCAAGGGCCAGAAAGGTGGTGCAGAAACATCGCATGCACGCTCGTTGGGGGCCACGCACCGGAAAAGTCAAACTTCCGGCTTCTGGCATGTATGTACTCCTGACAATCAGCTGGCCAGTGTGCATGCGCCTACCGGTTTTCGGCACTGCCACGCACATGAAGGACAGCTGATCATTGCATGCACATGCACACCAGAAACCCGGAAGACAAACAGGCAAGGCCGCACATGCTGGGTGACGTGGCTTTGTGTGTCATTTGGGGCATGCATGCCATGGGTTTGTCATCACGGTCCTATACCTTTAACTCTGTTCCAAACGAAGCAAACACAGTTTAGGCCGATGGGCAAAACTCTTGAGGGATTAGAAACAATGCAACTGCCCCACCTCTCCCCCCCAAAAAAAGAGATTTTTGAGAGTTTCCGGGGACGGGGGAAGGAGAGGGAAGAGAATACATTTTGTTGGGATGAGTCTGTGAACGCTCAGTTGTGAAATGACCACGAATCCCAAGTTCTCTTCAATGTCTCTTTAAAAAAAAACAAAATCAAGCAAAATAAAAAGTCTACACGAAACAGTTTCTCTTCAGTCTGTCCTGCAAACCATTGTGCCCACTCACTCTTTCCAAGAAATAATATGTTTGTTTCAATAACAGCAGTTCACAACGCCCTAGTTAAGTTTTAGGGAAGCGAAACCTCACGAGGAGGAGGTTCATCTGAGACTTCTATCCTTCTGAATGAAAAGCTCTGGTGGCCCCCAAACCTGACTGTGCTCACCAAGAAAGGATCCAGGGCCCGAAGATAAGTAGCAAAGAGATCCCCCAAAGACTGCCAATCAGCAGAATCGTGCAAGAATAGATATATATTAATGCAAATAAATTAACCTAAGAAAGTTAAGTGTCCCAAATTTACTGTCAACTATCTTCTCAGCTGCCCTTTTTTCTCTCACTGGTGACCACCAGCCATTCTGACCTCCTACAAAGAATCTTTGTTTGACTATGGAAATATTTGTCTCCAGTTGCTATCTCTTGCCAGTTAGCCCAGCCAGCTAGCAAAAGAAAAAAGAAAAGCAAAATGCAGGACAATCCCACCCCCCCACCCCCCACTTCTCCAGTTGGAGCATGTGAAAAATAAAAATAAAATAACCAACTTAATTTCATTCACTCCCAAACAGCTGGACTCCAGAAATCCAGAAGCTTGGATGCAGATACTCTGCATTCGTGTTGATCAACAACTCTGGAAACAAGGACAATATATCTGGAACTTGGGCTGACCTGCTTGTCTATCTGGACTTGTGGCACCCCTACTAGTCAATCCAAGAGAAGATTGTGGCTGGCTAAGATTTGCTGCTTTGTTTATCTTTTGACAGTGTGCAGAGAGAAAATGCCAACTTTCGTCACAAAAAGGCCCAGTTCAGATGAATAATTCATGCCAAATATGTTTTCTCTTTCTGGCTCAATAACCTACCTAGAGTATAAACAATATCTTGCTCATAGTTGCTGAAGAGGATGGTATTTGGTGCAGATCAGTTAAACGCTGATCGGCACCATCCAGATGAAGCCTGAAAGAGGGAAAACTCTTTTTATTTCTTGCCAGGAAATTTCTAGTTTTACACCAGGAGGCAGAGAGAATCTACTACTGCTCTGCTTTGGACGTCTAGGGATCTCCAAACCTTGGCAACTTTAAGCCTGGCAGACTTCAATTCCTAGAATTCTGGGACTTGAAGCCTGCCAACGCTTAAAGTTGCCAAGGTTGGAGACCCCTGTTCTAGGAAATGATGGCCTTTTGCATGATAAAACTGAGCTCTTGCTTTCAGTTTGCTTCATTCCAAATGAGATAAATGTTTGCTTTGACCAAATCCACCCAAAAAATAAAAATTGGTGGAATTCTAGCTTCTTTCAAGCAGTAGGCATTTTTTTGCCCAAGGAAAAGTCCTAAAAAAATAAAACACTTTTGCCTTTTCTTGTTCACGGCTCAGCCAACTGATATTCTCATCATGTCTGTGTTTTGCCGAACTGCCACGCTCCGGCCTCCAATCGCTAGGGGACTGCCAAGAAGGACCTTCTTTAAATCAAAGAGAACACCTTAGCAACTTTTAAAGACTCGCAGATGGATGGACTTCAACTCCTGAAATTCTCCATCCAACCTGGCTGGCTAGAGAATGATGGGAATTGAAGTCCACAAGTCTGAAAAGTTGCCGAGGTTGGACACCCCTGCTCTAAAGGATTAAACTGCATTCTTGCATTTGAAATCAGCTGCTGAAGAAGAACAGGAGTCCACATCAAGCAGTCGCTGAATGTACCTTCAGAAGTTTTCTTTCAAAACAAAAATTTTTTTTACAAGAGCTTCGTGTGAATGCAGAGTGACATGTCATGGCCCAAGCTGACAGACACAGCAACGTCAAGGCCCATCCCTCACTACAAAAAGCAAAACGATTTCTTCCTCAAACTCTCCATCTTTACGTGGGTAGAAGAAATGAGGCGACTTAAATAAATACAAGATTCGGGACGAGGACTTCAAAGCAGACATTTTGAAACCCCTTGCCGAGCCGAGGCATGTTCCTGGGTTGTACCTCTGTTGTTGCCTTTTTGTTTTGTTTTGCTGTGGGAACGCTCGGGACATTTACACGTGGGAGCCGTTCAAGTGCCCTGGATGTGGGTTTCCATTGGTAATCTCTGCAAGTACAGATAGCCCTTTTAAGCGGAGAGACAACTCTCTCAAGTAACTACTTGAAGCTGCAAAGGTCAAAGGATGCAACAACAACCAGAGAAGATGCCGTCCAGCTGAAACAAGGAGAGGAAGGGTGGGGTGGGGGGGGGGGGAGAGACTCAAGGATGGCCAAGCAACCATGGCAACTGTTATGACTTGTGGACTTCTCCTCCCAGAATTCCTGAGCCAGAATAAGCTTCCCGTTTTATCTCCTCAAGCAGCAAACTCATCCTGTCTGTCACATGCCGGGGCGGCCGAAGTAGCAGCACAGGGAGGGGAAGGGAACCCTGTGTCGAAGTCCACTTGCCAATGAAAGAAAAACCCCGCAAAGGGACCCTGGGTGGAGAACAAGCAACTATGCTCTGTTTGGCAACCAGCGTGAAGAACTCGCCGGCTAACCGCATTCTTGCCGAGAAAAAAAATAACACAACAGTTCCTCCGTGCCAGGACAAATAGGCCGTTTGTGCCAAGACCAGTCAAGGATCGACTCCAAAGGAGAGTTTCATGGCTTCCTACATCTCCCCAGCTCCCGCCCAAGAGAGGCAGACCAACAAATAAAGAGCCAGGAAAATGCCTAGAAAGGTGCATGAATCCAGGAGGGCCAGAGTGGACTTTTTTTTTTTTCCCACCATGCCTCAGTGCCGGAAAAGCCCAATTCCTCCATCACATTCTGGCCCTTCCTTGGGGGACGTTCCTGGCTGGAATTCAGTCGGCACCGTGCTTCTCTTTCTCGCCTACGCCAGCTGTTCCTTTCTTCTGTAAAAATCTGGAGATGATGAATATATACCTCTCTATATATTCATTCTCTATGTACATGTATTGCACAAAAATCCTCTGGCCACAGGTGTTCCCGCCTGCTAGTAGAACCGCTTCCGTTTCTCATCTGACTCGGGCCGATATTCGCGAGAGCCGATGCCTTTCTGAAGGTTGATGAGGGAATCCTTCATCTGTAAAAGCAAGGACACCATCTTGAAAACACAAAACTGCAGAACTAGCAGGATCAGAAATGCTCTGACCCAGGTTCAGCAGAACCAAGGACCAAGACTCCTTGTCCCGAAAAACCCCTCTTTATTTAGTTATTGTGAATTCATGGCATTCACACACAGAAAAGTCCCGGCAATAATCCCTTCCAAGGGTTAAGTGCAAGAACAGACCTTATTAGTCCTTGGATAATTGCCAGACCAAGAGCATTAATTCCCAGCAAGGAGTCTCTGAAGAATGAACCCCAATAAGCAAATCATCCGAAAGAAATACAAACTATTGTCTCCTGCAACCAGGAGCCAAATCGGAACCCGTGCCAAAGTGGCATGCTATTTCCCTTGTCTTGCCTTCTGCCTACCCACAACCCATGTTTTCTCCCCTAGGTTGGAGGTAGCTCTCACCTGATCTAAGAGAACTACTGATGATTTGATGATCTCTCGCCACTTTTGGAGTTCCGTGTCATGATATTTCTGCTGGGACTCTAATAACTGGGCCCACTCAGTCTGAGATTGGGGTAACCTGTTGAGACCAAGAAGAGCAAAAAGAGACATGAAAGCACTTGAAGCCAGCCGGGAATCTTTCTTACAGCCAAATTTTATTTTGGATGCTTGTATTTCATTTTTTTAAATGTTTTTAATGCCCTGATTGTAATAGCGTGATGAAATGGGTGGCAAACAAATTTAATACATAAATGCATCCCCTTGCAACTTTGCTATTCTCGAGATATTTTTTTTTTTATTGTAAGACACTGAGAGTCATTGATTGAGATGGGTGGCAGAAAGAGAGGGGGGTTGAGAGGGAGAGAAGAGAGAGAGGGGGGAGAGAGAGAAAGAAAGAAAAAAGAGAAAGAAAGAAAGAAAGAGGGAGGGAGGGAAGGCCATAGGGAGGGGGGGAAAGAAGGAAGGGAAGGAAGAGAAAGAAGGAAGGAAGGAAGGAAGGAAGGAAGGGAGGGAGGGAGGGAGGGAAAAAGGAAGAAAGGAAGAGAAAGAGGGAGAAAGAGGGAGAGAGAGGAAGGAAGGAAGGAAGGAAGGAAGGAAGGAAGGAAGGAAGGAAGGAAGGAAGGAAGGAAGAGAAAGAAAGAAGGAAGGAAGAGAAAGAGGAAAAGAAACAGGAAGTAAAGAAAGAAAGAAAGAAAGAAAGAAAGAAAGAAAGAAAGAAGAAAGAAAGAAAGAAAGAAAGAAAGAAAGAAAGAAAGAAAGAAAG